CATGGGGTTGTTAACCAATGTCATAAAACAGTATGTGTACTGACTGTTTAATGAGAAACTATTTGTTCTGTAAACCTTCATCTAAAGTACAATAAAGAAAATTTAAAAAAATATATAAACTAAAAGTACATGAACAATTTCATATTTGAATAAGCATCAATAGAAGTATTTTTGTAAAATATCAGAATTTACATTAGTCTCTTGTTTCCTATCATCAAGATTAGTAAAGGTCAGTCTGACAGTAACCTTGAAACAATAACTCATTACTGTAACTTTCCAAGTTATGCTATTCTTAAAAAAAAAAAAAAAAAAATCACCCTTCAATGGAATGTTTAATTTGGGGCATGTATCGGATCCAAATAGCAGATGCTACAATATAAGTTGTCTGTGCTGGGACTGGACTCTCTGGGCTGCTACTATGAATCCTGAAAGCAAGCTAACTTCCCTGCCAGTATTTATAAAGGTTTATTTTTACTTTTAAAACATGCTGGGAATCTAGTTCTGGACAGGCCTGCAGGGCAGAAGGGCCAGCAGGGAACAGAGTCCCTGGACATCCACATATTCATTGTATTAGTTGACAAGAAAACACACACACACACACACAAGCAGTGACTGGCTTGAAACTACAGTCCCATCCATCAAAGAACCAAGGCCAGGGTTCTTGGCTCAAAAGACACAAGAGCAGGGCCTCAGGCACTAAATGGGCCTAAAATAAAGACACATGTTATTGTTTGGCACCTGAATGGTTCAACCATGCTTAAGGTAAATGACATAGTAATGTGGCACAGAATCTGGCTTATCCATCTTAATTTCTGCAATTATACAGAAAAGGTCAGAAAAGCATCTGAGGCATGTGAATGCATGTATGTGTGTATTTATTTATGCTTATACTTAATAAGCATGGAGATGAGTCTGTAAAGCTAGAAGAGATAGCCCTCTCAGGACACACAAGAGGCTATGGGGGGCTTAAACTCTTGTGCCTGCCGCCTAAAAAATAAAAACTAAGAAAAGTTTAGATTCTGGATTCTCTTTTCACTGAGGCCACAGAGGACAGAAACTCTAAATTCTTTATTCACCAAAGCCACACAGGAGGAAAGAAATAAAGGGGCTTGTCAAAGACTATTCATGCAATGAAGTCTCCTGACCCCATGCTATGCTTTTGTCATTTCACCATCCTGCTGTTAATTCAACTGTCAAAATTCACATAAAAGAATATAAACAAATTAAAATAGCTAAATCCTTCCCCCTCCTTTACATGAATATGGAGGAAGTAGAAAAGATGCAAAACACAAGATGTCCTCAACCTGGATTCCATGACTTTCATAAGCTGGGCCAGATCCATTCTTCTGAACTTCTTTCACCATGCCATTCCACAGAGCCTTCCCTACCTGCAATGGTGAGACACACACACACAATTCCTGCTGAAATACTACTGTGCTTTACCACCTGACTCTGGAGTATTATAGCTGGTTCAGTTCTCAGATCTATCAGTTATTTAATCTAAATCTCAGTTTCTTCATCTATAAGATCAGGGTAAGAACTTAACAAAAAGACAAACAACCCAATCAAAAAACGGGCAAAGGACATAAACATTTCACCAAAGAAGATACACAAATGACCAACAAATATATAAATAAATGCTAAACATCATTAACCATTACAAACCAAACTCACTGCTGTCAAGTCAATTGCGACTCGTAGCAACCCTATAGGACAGAGTGGACTGTCACATTGTGTTTCCAAGGAGCAGTTGGTGGATTCAAACTGCAGATCGTTTCGTTAGCAGCTGAACACTTAACCACTACACCACCAGGGCTCTAGCATTAGCCATCACAGAAATACAAATCAAAACTACAATGAGATACCATTTTACCCTAACTAGGATGGCTAAGATTAAAAAACCAAACAACCCCCCACCCCCACAGAAAACAACAAAAGTTGGCAAGGATGTAGAGAAATTGGAACCCTCATCCAGAGAATGTAAAATGGTACAGCTGCTATGGAGAACAGTTTGGTGGTTCCTCAAAAGGCTAAACACAGAAATGCCACATGACCCAGCAATTCTACTACTAGATATATACCCAAGATACGTGAAAGCTGAGACTTAAACAGAAACCTGTACACTAATGCTCACTGCAGCACTCTTCACAAGATCCAAAAGGTAGAAACAACCTAAATGTCCATCAAAAGATGTATGGTTTAACAAAAAGTGGTACATACATACAATGGAAATAGGTAGCGGACACACAACATGGTTATGTAATTAATGTCATGGAATTTTACAGGTAAAAAATGTTGAATTGACAAATGTTGTGTTATATATATTTACCAAAATAAAATAATAAAATTTAAAATAAAATGAGGATAGGAAATTCTCAGTGTTGTTGTAAGGATGGAAAAAATGTTTCAGACACTCAATACAATGCCTGAAGCATAGTAAGTGCTTAATAAAAGATAGAAATAATCACTGTATTTGCTTATACCATTCTCCACACAGCCGTTTAAAATGGTCTCTAGTTTCCCTAGATCCAGCACAAGCCCCACATCAAAG